GAAATGATAAATTACAAAAATACCTTTATAAAAATATTTTAGTAATTTTACATTTTTCGGGGTACTGTTGTGATTTCAAATGCACAAAAAATCATGAAATATTATAAAATTAAGATTTAAAAATTTTCATGAAAATTTAAGCTCGGGAAGGTCAAATTAGAAAAATATTGCTTATAGGGGTATTTTGATAATTTTATACTTTCTTAGTGTAATAAAAATTTTTAGTGTTTTAAAAATCACCAAATTTAATTTAAAATCACATTGATTCCATTTAGGTTACGAATTTTAAAGATCAACTCTGGTTCTATTCATTTTGGTTGGACTTTATATAATTTTGATCAAAATTGACTTTAAAATTCTTAATAGGTAAGTTTGACTTGCAAGAGAAGAATTCTAAAAAGAAAAGTATTCTTAATAGGCAAGTTTGACTTAGAGAAGAATTCTAAGAGGAGAGAGATTCTTAATGAGCAAGTTTGTATGGTTATAAATAGGTGAAGTCTCTACAGGGTTAGGTATGAGAAAAAGATGTAAGAGAGTTGTAGGGTTTTGTGGGATAGACACCCCATAGGAGTATTGGGACTCTACGTCTTATGGGTGTGTATGTTTGTTTGTGAGTGGACTATAGGAGATTGAGATGGTCCACATAGGTATGATGTATGGAAATATATGGGTATGTGTTTGGTTGTGTTGAAAAGGTGCACAAGAGTTTGGGTAGAGAATACTTCATAGGACTAGAGGAGATTGAGAGTGTCTTATGAGTATTGATTGTTGAGTGGGATTGATGATATGATGTATGTTTGTAATTCTCTACAACCAGTGGATCTTGTTTCTCATCCGTGGATGTAGGTCAGTTGGACCGAACCACGTTAAATTGTTGTCTCTTGTGTGTTTGATTTATTGTTTGATTTCGCTTCCGTTGGTGTGATTGGATTGGAAGCTTTTAGCCCAACAAATGGTATCAAAGCTATGGTGATTTCCCCAACAAGTGGTATCAGAGCTGAAGGTTTGAAATATGAGAAGAGTTGAAGATTCAAGATGTGGAAAGAGCCGAAGGTTCGAGATGTGAAAGAGCTGAAAGTTCGAGATGTGGGAAGAGCTAAAGGTTTGGGAAGTGCATGATTTGAGACATGGAAAGAAGCAAGTTCAGAAGAGCTCGATTCAAGAGAAGAGTTCAAGTTCGAGTTTTGAAGTTTGAAGATTGATTTGTATGAAGCGAGAAGACACAAGAGAAGAGAAGATGATTGTGAGACTTCCATTGCAGGTGGAGCCAAGCATGTCTAGCATGAAGACAGATGATTGATGAAATTTGAGTCAAGGTGAAGATTGTTGGGAATATTGACTCAAATCCCATAAGAGATTTGTTTGAGATTTGTTAAAGATTTGTTTGGGATTTGTCAGATATTGCTTGATGGACAAGAAGACTTGCAAAAGAAGAATTTCAAGAGAAAGAGGATTCTTAATAGTAAGTTTGACTTGCAAGAGAAGAATTCTAAAAAGAAAAGTATTCTTAATAGGCAAGTTTGACTTAGAAAGAATTCTAAGAGAGAGAGATTCTTAATGAGCAAGTTTGTATGGTTATAAATAGGTGAAGTCTCTACAGGGTTAGGTATGAGAAAAAGATGTAAGAGAGTTGTAGGGTTTTGTGGGATAGACACCCCATAGGAGTATTGGGACTCTACGTCTTATGGGTGTGTATGTTTGTTGTGAGTGGACTATAGGAGATTGAGATGGTCCACATAGGTATGATGTATGGAAATATATGGGTATGTTTGGTTGTGTTGAAAAGGTGCATAAGAGTTTGGGTAGAGAATACTTCATAGACTAGAGGAGATTGAGAGTGTCTTATGAGTATTGATTGTTGCATTTTATTATTCTTTATTTTTTATATATCTACGTGAAAAAAAATTTATATAAATTTCATACAAAAGAGTTTGAAAATAATCATGTAAGTCTCTTTTTTCTTTGTTTATTAGGTTTAAATATCAATATATTTATGAACTCTTAAAGAGACCTTTTATGATTTTTAAATTAATTTTATTCAATCATACAAAAATATTTTAGATAAAATTCGATATTTACTAAGATAAGAAAGGAAAATAGAAGGAAAACCTTAATTAAATAGAAAAGATTTTTGTAATAAATATGGGGGTGACTGGTTGCATTCGAAGTCCAAAAAGTCGGCTGAATGCAGGTGATCCCTTCTATTTTTTCTCGTCTATAGTTGCAATCGTTAGTTGGTCGGGTAAAAATTGAAGAGATAGTGGGAATAATAATTGCATCAATAAACACCAAACACTTGTTATTATTATAAATATTAAATTTTAATATTAATATTAATATTATTAATTTAATTTTTAATTTAAAAAATATAATCAAAAGATTAATACATGCTTCATTTTGTTTTTAATTAATTTTTTAAATATATTTTAATAAGTATGTATCATTTTTATTAATCTCAATTATAAAATTTAAAAAATTCATTAACAACAAATGAAATATTTTTTCTTTAATAATTTGAAGAAAATGAGTTGAAACTTATATCCCATTTGGAAAGGAAAGTGTTATTATAAGTTATACATTGATTTAAATCTCATAATATTTTTTAAATATATTATTTATTCTTAAGCTTATTTTTTTATTTCTTAAAAAAGAAAATGAGACAAGCTTTTATATCTAAGAACAACAATTCTAGGTTGTTTTCATATCACTACAAAATTTCACAGGCATCTTACTTTTTTTTTTGTAAGAGAAGGAAGACAGGAAGGGATGGCGAGGTGGCGGACAGCGGGAATAAAATAATGGGCAGAGAGTCTTCAACAGTACAACCTCGTGCTCTATTAGTAAAGAAGTATTAAATAACTTATAAAAGTTTGTGTTCGAATCAAAATTTTTTTATTATTTTATATTTGTTAAATATTAAATATTTTATTATTTTATATTTAAAACGAATCTTTTTATTTATTATTAATTAATTTTAAATTAAATATTTAATACATTTCTCATATTTAAATCATGTAGGTCAAAAAAATGATTAGAGAAAAGTTGATCCATATCTTCTTTCAATATTCTTTACGATGTTTTCTACGCACAATTATTTAATTAAACCCGTTACTTTGAAAGAATCAGTCACTCTGAAATAATGCTAATATTTTATTTAAAAAAAGTTATTTTATAAAGAGACTAATGATTTTACAAAAGTTGTTAATCAAATGATTCTAGATTTCATACACTGTAAAGCAGAAGTAAAATAAAAAACAAATTGGAATGGGTGGTTTGGCTGTAATGGTTATAAATGGGCCCCATTGGTATGGCGGGTTCAGAAGAGGACGATGACAGACTTCGCAGGTTTTGTCGCTTGGTGCCGGGTCAATTCAATACTTTTCAATTCATTTTGCTTTTACGAATCTCTTTACGCTTTCTATCAAATTTTCCATTTTTTCTATAAAAAAAAATCGAAATTAATTTAATAGGTTTTTTTTCCTTTCCTTATGATGTGAAAGAAAAAATCAAAACCCATCAACAAGCTACAAAACATATGGCTAGACTTTACATTTTAGGACAACACTAGACTAATGAACCTTGAAGAAAAGTAAAAGAATTAGAGAAGTGTGGTTTTCGATGAGCTTATTAATCGTCAAATGTTCATTTCCAAGAAGTTTCCGAATTGTTAAAGTTCAAATGAATGTAACTTTTTTTTTTTGTTTTATCTTAGATTAAAGTCATAACAAAACTTAGAAGCAAAATCAAACATTACTTATGGAGTAATAGCTAGGAAACTAAGGATCTTTGAGATTCTTGACTAAACTTGAAAGTGATCACATAGGAAAAATCAAATTTCCTATTTAGCAAGAAACACACTAAAGCTCTGCAAAGTACAAGAAATTTCCTAATTAGAAACAAAAAGTTTTTGAAGTAATTTGTATAAATGTTACAAAATATATATTTTTCACAACATAAAATGGGTTATGCTGTAATAGACTAGTACTAGTTATATTTTAAAGCAAAAATATATACAAAATTGTTGGTGATGCATTTTACTACAGTTCACCTTACAAAAATTTGTATAATATTTTTTTGCAACATAAAAAGTTTTATGCTATAATAGATATTGCAAACTATTTTTGTAACAAAATATATATATATAAATTGTTACAAATACTTTTTGTAGCACAATTATTTACAACATAACATAAAATTTTTGTTGCAAAATATAACATTTATTGTATAGCTAATTAACTATTAGTTCATGTTAATTATAGATGTATTAAAATTTTTCAATTTTTTTCTTCCAAAATGTTCGAACCTTAAGCAAATATATTTTTAAAAATTATTATTTTTATTTTTATTTTTATTTTTCCAAGTTTATTTTCCGGTTACTTTCCTTAGGTTAAGATTTAAGATTCAACTCTCTTCTCTCTTAATTTCAAAAAAAAAAAAAAAGTCACTTCTGTCTTAATCTTCAATTAATCAATATGGTATTAAAGTCAATATGAAAAAAATACTACCCAAAAAGTTTGACAAAACATTTTGTTTGCTTTTGTAACAAGTTTAAACAAAACTTTGCTTTCCTTTGCAAAAGGTCTGTTACCGCTGATATGGTTGGTTTACATATTTTAACGTATGTAATCAAAATAATAAATGTATTCTTATCTCTTTATTTAAAAATTTTATTTGAATTCTTTTTTAAAATTAATATGTGTAAATATATATATATATATATATCTCAATATTTATTTAATTTAATTATATTTATAATATTATTTTATTTTTTATCATAATTTTATAAATATGGAACTCTTTAATCTCTCTTCATTGAAGGCTCGATAGTGACCATATCCTACCTTTTTCGTTATCCGTACGTTTGGCAAAGAGGAATTACATGCTTTTTGCGCGTATTGACCAATTAGCAGTGGACTGGCCAGGGCAAGTCATGGGAAGTTTCTTTGATATATTAAGTTGCCTAAAATTCTACCCTTGAACAGTACTAGTCTTATAAATTGTAAAGCCCTAGACGCTCTAAATGTCTTTAACTAGAAGGTTGAACATTGTCCTAAGGTGAGTATAAAGTGCTTAATTTTGTTTTTGAGAGAAATAGTCACAATTTGTAGATTTTTCTAAGACAGAATGATTGATGTATGCATATATTTATGATTGTGTTATTGCATTTGAATTAACACGGTTTGAGGTTTGGGCTAATCAACAGTTCATTGAATATAGCAGATTTCAAGATAGACGAACCAAGGGCTCTTCTGTCTTGCTTGAAAACTTTCCATTATGTCTGATCATTTTTAGGTTTCTGTTTTATTTTGATCGCTTGACACATGAATTGGGAGCATATCTAATGCAAATGACCATGAAAGAAGCATTTTATATTGAAAAAAGCTGAACTATTTCGTTTTTGTAGCTTTTTTCCCTCATTTTGTTTCATGTTTTCTTTGGGGTATGTTAAAAGCAGCTAGTTTCTGATTGTATAAACTGTATATATAGTAGTAATCTAAATAGCTAGAGTTCCAATAAATGAGATTTTTAGGTTTAAACTTCATGCATATGTGCTGGAATTTCTTCTGAATAAGATTCTGAAAGTTCGAAAATTTCTAGGTCGATCGCTAGAAGAGCATTTTTATTGAGCTAAGAAAAAAGTACATGGCTTCTCCAGCTAATATGGTTCTAGGCTCCATTGCCTTTGCAACCTTCTGGGTATTTGTAGTTTTTCCTTCAGTTCCATTTATGCCAATAGGGAGAACTGCGGGCTCCATACTAGGAGCCATGCTTATGGTTTTATTCAGAGTCATGACTCCAGATGAAGCTTATGCTGCAATTGATCTCCCAATCCTTGGTCTTCTATTTGGAACAATGGTTGTTAGTATATATCTTGAAAGCGCAGACATGTTCAAATATTTGGGGAAGTTGCTTTCATGGAAGAGTATGGGACCTAAGGACTTACTTTGTCGAATTTGCCTGATTTCTGCCATTTCAAGTGCTCTTTTCACCAATGATACCACTTGTATGATTTTGACAGAATTTGTGCTTAAAATTGCAAGGCAACATAATCTACCCCCTCTTCCATTCCTGCTTGCTCTTGCCACAAGTGCAAATATCGGGTCTGCAGCAACTCCAATTGGAAACCCCCAAAACCTGGTTATAGCAGTTACGAGCAAAATTTCCTTTGAGGAGTTTCTTATTGGAATTCTACCCGCAATGCTTGTGGGACTGGTTGTGAATGCTTTACTTCTTCTGTGCATGTATTGGAGGTTGTTATTTATTCAGAAAGATGAAGAAGATGCAATTGGAAAAGAAGTAGCAGATGAAAATGAAATTACTCATTTATTTTCACGAGCCACGATGTCACTGTCTTCATCATTAAACTCTCAGGATGAAAACACAGCTCATGTTCACACAATTAGAAACGGAGCGAGTTCTACTGAGAATGAAATGATCCAGATCGTATCTAACAATGCTGTCGAGTCAAGTTCATTAATGATAACCGTGACAAATGTTGATCCTTCAGAGAGGAGTGAGAAAGTTCCACTTCTATCAAACAAGCAATATAGAGTGGAGGCTGCATCGTCTGTGGAGCCATCAAAATCAGAAGGGAAGGAAAACTACACCAAAAGGTGGAAAAGGACGATGTGGAAACCATGTGTGTACCTTGTTACCTTCGGAATGATGATTTCTATGCTTATGGGTCTTAATATGTCCGGGACTGCAATCACCGCTGCAGTCGTTCTTATATTTCTTGATTTTAGGGATGCTCAGCCTTGCCTAAAAAAGGTAGTAAAATTATATATCTGCTACTAGAATATTGTTGTTACATCTTTTGCTTCTCTATCGTTTCTCTGACGTGGTTTCTTCTTAAATTTCCTTGACCAGGTATCATATCCGCTTTTAATATTCTTCTGCGGAATGTTTACAACAATGGATGGCTTTAACAGGACTGGAATCCCAAGCACTGTGTGGGACTTGGTGAAGCCATATGCAAAGATCAATAATGTTTTCGGGATAGCAGTTCTTGCCATCGTCATACTTGTCCTCTCAAATTTGGTTTCCAACGTACCAGCTGGTATGGTGATGTTTACAGAAAGATATATTCAGGCTGTAAAACGTAAAAACAAACATTGGGAGGTTTGCTCAGTCATGAATTAAACATGCTTATGTTTTCTTTTCTTTTCTTTTTCTCAAACAGTTCTTTTGCTTGGAGTACCCGTGGCAGCATCAGCAAATGCTATTTCTGCAACCCATGAGAAGAAGGCATGGCTTATTTTAGCTTGGGTCAGCACTGTAGCTGGGAACCTATCACTTCTTGGATCAGCTGCTAACTTGATCGTGTGTGAACAAGCTCGCCATGCTCCACTTGGCTGCAACTTATCTTTCTGGAAACACCTTCAATTTGGAATCCCTTCCACTCTTGTAGTTACAGCTATTGGTTTGGCATTTATGATAAGCTAAATTATTAAACATAATATATAATAGGGTAAATTACATAAATAGTTAAACACGATTTGAGTTTGCCTCTTGAAGTTTAAAAAGTGACATTTAATCGCCCTAGAATGTGTATATATGTCATTCTGTAATATTCTTTATATGCCGTCTATTATAAAATGACAAGAATACCCTTATCTTTGACAGAATCAATTGAATTATAAATTTTGGAAATGGTAACTGCTTTTATTAAGAGATGATGAATTGTTGAGAAGAAGATAAACTTTGAAAGAATTGGATTTTACTATGATCGCATGCATCTTAAACAATCGATTGAAGAACATTGACCTAAATGATGATTTTACCTTATTATTTCCTAATTTTGTCATCAACTCATATTAGAAAAGCTCACAAATCAATAAAAAAATTCAAACTTTTTTTTTCTTCTTTTTTAAAAAAAATTCAAGATTTTGACAAATAGGTATGTGTTTTTGTTGGGATTCTTGTTGTTGTTAGATGATGATGATGATTATCGATCGAAAATATTGACCTAGATGTGATTTTGCCTTATTGTTTCTTGATTCCGCCATCAACTCATATCAAAAAAGCTTGCAAATCAACAAAAAAATTTGAACTTTTTTCTTTTCTTTCTTTCTTTTACAAAAAAAAAAAAAGTTCAAGATTTTGACAAATGAGTATATGTTTTTGTTGGGGTTCTTGTTATTGTTAATGATGATGATGATTATTGATTGAAGAACATTACCCAGATGATGATTTTCTCTTATTATTTCTTAATTCAGCCATCGACCCATATCAGAAAAGCTCACAAATCAACAAGAATATTCAAAGTTTTTTCTTTTATTTCTTCTTTTACTAAAAAAAAAAATTCAAGATTTTGACAAATAGGTTTATGTTTTTGTTGGAGTTGTTGTTGTTGATGATGATGATGATGATTATTATTGCATTTTACTTTAAAAAATTGGATAAAGGAAAATCGTTTCGGTTGTTCTTTGCTCCAAATAATCCCACTTGTTGAAGATTATAAAGAAATATTTATGCTTCCACGCTTGATTTGTCATTAATGACGTTAATAAAAAGTAACAGAATGACACGGATATATATCTCAGAGTAATTAAGTGTCACTTTTTAAATCTTATGAGGTAAACTCAAATTATATTTAATCACAAAATATATTTATGTAATTTATCATATGTAATATTACACACAAAAACTTGCACAATATAAAATTTTTTAATTTTACATTTTTTAAAATATTGATTTTAATAAATTTAAGTTAAGAGAGATACAAATAAAAATAAAAAATAATTTAATTTAATTTTTTAAATTTATTACAATTAATGATTAAAAAATATAAAATTAAAATAGTTTTATAATGTGTAGATTGATCTTTTGTCTTGTATATATATAAATACATTGTCAACTAATATCGTACAATTAAAATTATTATTTTCTATTATATTGTACAATGTAGATTTTTCATAAGAAAACACAATTCATAAACTTAGTTTACTTTAAACGAGCCATTATTTGATTTTAGAGAATTTTCACTGTTGAATTCTTGGTCCTACTTTTGGCCTTGAAAATCGATTTAATTGGCACTACTTGCACGTTGCATGGGCATTTTCCTTATTCGATGGAGCATATGCATACGTTTTCCCACGTCATTGTTGCCTTCTTTCAGCAAGTTTTGTCATCGTTCACTTTGATATTAATGGTCCCAGACTCTTAGCTGAGAGACAAAACTCACATTCAATTTAATTTGTAGGTAAGATTTATAAAAAAATTTTAAAAATAATTTAATAAAATTTTAGTAAAAAATTAAATTTAATAAATTAATAGAATTTAATAAAAAAATTAATAATACATAAAAAAAATTTAAAAATATTATTTATAATTCAAATTCGATTTATATTTATGCAAATATAAATTAATTTTATTAATATTTTTATTGAAAATGTTTATTTAAGAATATATATCAAATTTTTTTTAATTTTTTCAAATTTTATATACTTAATTTTTGCAATAAAATTTTTTAATTTTTATTTTAATTTAATTATTTTTAATAAAAAATTTTATGAATTTAATGTAAAAACCTTTATCTAAGTGTTCCCCCTTGCCGAAGAGCCAATAATAATGGTGGTGATGCATGTGTCACGGGTCGAGACTTAAGCTTCGAATTCGTGCGACTTCGAGATCCTGACATGCACTCATCCGGTATCCCAGATCAGTCTTCCTGTTACGGTTCACACCTTTGTGAGGTATTATCCACTCTGACTTCCCTGATCTCACGGTTTTGTCCTATAAAAGGCACCTCGAGAGAGGTAGGCAGGGTCGTCAGCCTCTGTAACGAGGGCGTCACAAGGTTGGGTGGGAGAGAATGTCACGGACCTAAGGAAGAGTCATGAATCTCACATCGAACATAATAGGAGGGTCACTAGGGTATAAAAGGGTTCACACTACCTCTGCCTTGCGAAGCCAAGGGGACTAGAGTGGATAATACCTCATAAGGGTGTGAACCGTGACGGTTAGGTTGATTTGAGACATCGGATGAATGGATGCCTGGGTCCCGAAGCCACACGGGTTCAGAGCTTAAATCTCGACCCGTGACAAGTGGTATCAGAGTTAGCCCTAAATCGTTTGATCCACGCCAAGCGATTCGATAGAGGTAGGCAAGGTGACCAGCCTCCGTGACGAGGACGTCACAAGGTTGGGTGGGAGAAAATGTCATGGACCTAAATAAGAGTCTTGAATCCCATATCGAACATAATAGGAGGGTCACTGTGGTATAAAAAGGTTCACACCACCTCTGTCTTGTGAGGTCAAGGGAGTCAGAGCGGACAATATCTCACAAAGATGTGAACCGTGACGATTAGGCTGATCTGAGACCCCAGATGAGTGGATGTCCGGGTCCCGATGTTATGCGAATTCGAAGCTTAAATCTCAACTCGTAACACATGCATGCTTGAAAAGAGGTGCATGTTGATGCGAACGACAAAGTTTAAGACTATTTTATTATTATCTATACGTTTATTTTTTATTATTATTATTATTTTGAATGCATGCATCTAATTATTATATGTTTACGAGTAAGATATTAAAGAATTTTTTTATTTTATTATTTTATTTAAATGAATTTTTATATTTTATTTTCTTTAAATAAATCTTTATTTTTATTTATATTCAAGTATATCTTTATTTCTACATTAAAATAATAATAAATATATTAAAAATAATAAAAGATTGAAGAAAAAGCAATTCACTCGCATAGTGTAGTTCTAATTTTAACATATGTAAATGCTTTATCACTTCTAACTATTATAGTTAAATTAAGGGTAAAACAACAAAAAGGTCTTGAAAAATTATCACTTTATTGTTATTACATTTAAATGAGTATTTAATCTTTAATTTACATCAAAATAAATTTTTTTAGTATTTAATTTATATCTAAATAAATTTTTAACATTTAATTTATATCTAAAAAATTATTTATATAAATTAATTTTTTATTTGAAATAAAAACTTATTTGCATATACAAATAATCTAATCTTAATAATGAAACTTAATTGTTGACTTGTACGATTAATCATAGCATGACATGCACATCAAACACCTTTACAAATATAATTAAGCAATATCTAATGATATCTTACCGAAGTTAAACAAAAGTAGTGATCTGGCTGTGTTCGACTAAGACAAAAAATAAATACAAAATACAAAAGATTATAAAATTGGCCGCTGTTTAGGTTTGGTCCTTGGTCCTTAGAGTTGTGAACTTGAGAATGTTAGAGTTGTCTCTGTCCTGTCCTTCGGTGTTTGTGAACTTAAATTATTGGCGTAACTAATCTGCGTAGAAGAAATTCCCTTCGACAAATGTCTGTCTTCCCTAGTCTCCAACTGTGACTGCTACAGCTGCACATTTCTTGCTACACTGGGTAGGTTGTAACTGGCAACTCGAAAACTGAGCCGATCCACCCAAAGTGCAAATCCGGATAGAGAATTTGGGCAACGGAGTCCGGTTTGAATTTAATCAACGTCTCTTGTCAATTGTGTTACGCAACGCAATTAGAGTTGGCGGGTCGGGTTCGGAGCGGATTTTATTCGCCCCGAATCCGATTCGATTTAATGCTTAAAAAATTCGAACTCGATTTTATTTGAAATTTTTTTTATTTTTTTATATCCGAATTCGAATCCGACCCGATACTATATTAATCGTATCCGATTCGATCCGATCCGAAATTAATAAAATATTATTTTTTAAATATAAATATTTAAAAATATCATTATATAAATATATATATAATTAAAAAATTAAAAAATTAATTAAAAATTTTATTTTTATATATATCAGGTCGGGTAGGGTCGGGTTTTAGGCAAACCCGACCTCGACCCGACTTCAACTTTATCTTCATGCTATCCGATCCGATCTTCAATTTAAAAAAAAAAGATTGATCCTAAAAATTTGGGTCAATCGAAACCGGGTATGAATTTTTTTTTTCTTCCCTAGACGCAATGAATAGATAAACCCCATTCTTTTGTACGACACTGGTGAATTCTTGTACATTAATTTCAACGTGATCAGTGCTATTACAAGGATGATTGAGACGGTAACTTTTCTTTAAAAAAATGAAGGAGAAAGAGAGAATCAGATATGAAAATTCCTGATTTACTTTTTTTTATTAATGAATGCGATTAATCGAGTTCGCTAAAAAAAATTTATTGGAAAAATGTGATTTCACTTCTGCTAGATGCAATATATATTTGTACGGTTGTATATATATATATCACACACATATATATGTGTGTAAATTTTAAAAGTGTTAAAAGTGATCAAATTATATATTTTTATAAATTTTAAAATTAATAAATTGATTTTTAAATATATAAATTTTTTAAATTAATTTAAAATTAATTTCAATAAATTAAAATAAAAAATAGAATTTATGTAAAATTTAACTATCTAAAATTTTAAGATTTTAATTTCAAAAGTGTTAAGAACGATAGATTAAAATACTCGTATTAAATTTTTATAAAATTTAATTTAAATAAAAATTTTCTATTATTATACTTTTTTTATAATTAAGCTAAAAAAATATTTAAAAAATTAACCAAAATACTCTTAATAAAATTTTAATTTTAAAAATGTTACAAGTGATTAA